GAACTTAGAAAAAAGTCATAGAGAGAGTAGGTATTATTTAGAGTCACATCTGGGAACAAATGCTAGCACTTCTAGTCACTAGGAGTAGCTGTGTGATCCAGGAAAAGATATTTAATCTCTTTAAACCTCAGTGACCTCATCTGTAAAATTGAGAAAAATAGCACCTAGCTCATAGAGTTGATGTGAATATTAATTTAAATGAGATCCTGTTTGTAAAATGCTTAGCACACTGTATAGTACTTAAGAAACAGTATGTGAGAGCTATTAGAATAAAGAAGTGTATGAATGTCACTAAACGTGATACACGAAAGTCTGTTATTGTTGGACACCTTCTACTAAATAGAATAAAGTGGTTTAAAGTGGATATTATTGATGGTAGACCTGTTAACACTATTGAGAAATTATGTTTTTCTCTCTCTTACATGTTGTCTGATCCCTTCCTAAAACATGTCTTGACTAGTTTGTTATTTCTGAGTATTTTTGCAATCCTGAGATTGAACAGGTACTGATTGCTGACTTTGCTATGGAGGTAAAGAGAGTAGACCCTATTTGGATCAGCAGAAAAGGACTGAAATCTATGTGCCCGTGTCAAAGCAAAAGCACTTAATGTGAAATTGAAGGAGAATTAATAAAATGGCCACACTTAGGCTAACAGACTGCTTATTCTTATACTTGCCCTTAAAACGGTCAACTAACCTGACTGACTGGTTGCTATTCACAGCTCCAAGCCCGTTGTTCAAATAAAGCTATTATTTTACTGTTTCTACTTTATTCCAGTAATTGAAAGTAATAATCATACTTGGTCTCTGAGTCAATCTCCAGGGAGAAGGTCACAGAACTGTAACCTTACAAAATAGTATGAATTACCAAGAAGACCATGCCTTGGGTACTTATAAGATTGAAAGAGTGACAACCACTAGCCTCTATAGAATTGATCACCTGGAGACATCATGACTCCACTGAATCTTATGAGAAGAAAATAATTCTGCTGATTGTTATCAATGCTTTATTGTTTAAGCTATGGCTATATAATCATCCTGCCCCATCCCCAAGATGGGTTCACAGTTTTGAAGGCACTAGCCTGCTATGAGTCCCTTTTGCTTGGCAAAGCAATAAAGCTGCCTCTTTTCTTCTATGCTCCAAGATCTTGTCTCTGAGATATTTGGCTTGTCAGGGATGGGGGCCAATCTTTTGGCAACAAAATTTCAGTGTCACAGAATAAAAAATACTTGCTAAGACAGAATTAACATCACAGGTCTAACACATGAGATTATTCCATCAGTGAAAGTGAATTAATGTGGAAGAGAATAGGTAACTAAGGTTTTCTATCTGATTATGATATAAAATAATTAGATAATTCTAAAATGTGTGTTTTTTTCTGTAAAAATAATTAATCTTGCAACTAATTTATTAATTATATAATTAATACCCATTAATTCATGTAATTTCTGTAAAAGCTAGTAATACTACAAGAAAATTTATTTTTAAATGTTAATATCATTACCAAACTGAATTTGGGTCTGTTTGCCCACTATACAGTAAAGCCAATCTACTGACACTGGGTTGTGGTGAAGGAAAGTACAGTGTTTATTTTAGGGCCCAGCAAGGGGAACTGGTGGCTTATGTTCAAAGGAACCAAACTCTCTGATAGCTTTCAGGGAAGGGTTTTTAAAGACAACATTTGGGGTGAGGTTACAGGGTGCATGCCTCTCTTTCAATTGTTTAGTGATGAGATAGCAAAGTGATATTTCAGGAATCTTCATCATCAACCTTCTGATTCCAACCAGTCTGGGGTCTGTGTGCTTGTGGTCAGCATATAGTTACCATCCTCCACCTGGGTAGGGATTTTGGTTTCTGTAGAACAACTCAAAGATATGCATCAGATTGTTATGTCTATCCCTTGAGAAGGAACTAGGACTCTGTTTTCTTGTTTAAGCTATTATTACATTTCTTGCTTGACTGCTTTTCTTTTGTTTTTGCATGCCCTCACTTCCCTAATTCGTAATAGCTTAAGTCTACTCTTTGGAACTCGGAGAAGGCCTAGGCGCCTAAAGCATTTTTCTACAAACAAGAAACGGGGAACACAGATGAGCTTTCGTACCTTGCATGGCCTTGCTCAGTTTCAATGTTAGATTGAAATTTTTAGAAAGAACTAAATATAGAGTTGGTGCTAAGTGCTGCTTTCTGTGTGTTTGCAAATATAATTGAATAAGACCATGTAACATACAGATAGTTCTGCATCTGTTCTACTTTACAAATATCTTAATGCTTACCCTATAAAAGATATAGAAAATCTAGGGAAATAAGACACAGACACATGCTAAAGTCAAACACAAATGTTGTGTATGATTAAGACAGTGTATGATTAGGCTTAATCATTATCACCTTACTTCCTGTGCTTTGGGAAATGTTGTCTGGAATTTCCATTAACGCATGATCTCAATTGAAGTTGTCAAATCAATATTTGATGTACCATGCCAAAGACCCTTAAGATCTTACAGAGAAAATTGTTTCATATAAAAGAAATTCACATGTGGCATGGAGTTGTAGGGAGTCACAGTTCAATTTGGGAAGCTAATGTGTCTAAGCTGTGATGTGTAACAGGTTAAGAGTTAAATGTGAAACTGTGGGGGAGGAAAAATAATTTTTCCTTTACCTCTCTAAGGTTCTTGACTAATAAATCCCTGTAATAAAAAGACAGGTTAATTGGAGAAAGACAAACAGAAGTTTAGTAACATGCATACCTCCTGTATACATGGGAGAGACTCAGAAAAACTGAATAACTCTTTAAAAATGGTCCAAGCCATCACCTTAAAAACCAGCTTCAGCTAAAAACAAACAAAAGGATGTTGGATGGGGAGTCACTTATGAGAGGTTAACAGGAAAGCACAGTAAATGCAGATTTAAGTCATTGTCTTCTGCACTGATGAGAGTTCTAGAGATTTAGAGTCATCCTTTTCTTCCTGGTACAGCAAGGGACACTCTTACAAGTGGAGATTTCCCTTATAAATGTAAATGTTTCTTATAAGAGGGTAATTTCTACCCAGGTTTCAGAGTTCTCATGTCTGCTGTTTCTTTAAAATAATGAACTTAAAGTTATCAATATGCCAAAGAGGCATATTGGGGGGTGGTATATTGTGCTCCCCTTTAAAACTTTCTTTCCATTCATTACTTTTTTTTTTTTTTCACTTGGAGCTTAAATCAGCCCACTCTGCCCACAAACAAGCTGTGATGAAATACAGTAGGTCTGCTCTGAAGTGCTCTGGCTTCCAGTACAAAGAAACATCTGTTCTTTGTTCACCAGGGAAGCACAAAAGATGCTCTAAAATTTCAAGAACTAATCACTGAGTGAACCAGAAAACAGGGTTCCAGTGTTAAGGACCACTTCTTTGGTTTATAGTGTTAAAAATTAGGTGCTATAGCACTTGACTATCCTTTATGATTGGATTACTGCATTCTGTTGATTCTTACTTTGTGGTTGGCTTTATTTTTTTGATAACTATGTAAATGTATAAAGCTAAAGCTCTAAACGTTCTTAGAAACAATGAACAGTACATATATGTAAATTTTAAAATGGTTTTATCTCTCAATGTGTTGCTCTTCTTAGAATAAACTTTGTTTACCTGCCAAAAATTAAAAAAATTAGATGCTATAGAAAGTTCACACACACACAAAATGGGCCATTTGGTTATAAGTATTCAGTTAAAAAAATAAAGGAGCAGCAATGTAGATTTCACGATTTGTTAGAAGAGTTGAATATTCACTATCTAAAAGAAAACATCACACTGTATTTATTTTTCTATTATAAACCTAGTGCTTTGAAAAGCTTTCTTTGGCTTCTTAACTGTGGCTGAGTTCGTGAAGGAAATTTACTTTCAGAAAACAAATTTCCGTATTTTATCTGGAATGAGTAATGAAAATCTTGCTCCTTAGCCATTCAAGGGAAGGACTATTTTTACTGTGAGTTTTAAATAAGCCCATGTGCTAAGTTACTATATTTAAGAGTTTAGGCAACTTTTGCAGTACAGCCCCCAGGGTATTAGAGCTATCTTCCCTCAACTTTGAGTCCCAGCCTTTCAGTTCAGTATGTTTGTTTGTAACATACCTGTTAGTCAAATTCTTTTGTTCTGAGACTGACAGAGATTCTGTAAAGCATTCAAAATGGAATGACTCAAATGTGCTCCCCATGGGATGAGTTAAGTGCTGTTTTGTTAACTTTTTTCCTTATTTTACCTCAAAGTATTTTTAAAATTTTTGATTTTGAAATTGATCTGTCTTCTCCCAATTCTTTGTGCTGTTGTTCTTATTAGTATAAATGACTGACATAGAAAAAAGATATTGAAAAAGAGGCTATGGAAAAATAGATGTTCATATCCCTAAAAACTACCCCACCCTCTTCCCCTGGCTTTTCCCTTTTCCTCTCTCCATTTAAAGCCCCCACCCCGACCTGATGTGGATTTTTCTGCACATCGTGACTCCCAACTTGTTCCTAGCAGGGTTTGAGGTTTGAATTTTCTGATAGACAATTTAGAGTCACTTAAAAAATAACCCTTTTATATTACAAAAGCTTTAGATTCATAGAATTATTGCAAAGATAGTATCAGGAGTTCCCATTCATTCCATACTAATTTCCTCTGTAATTAACATCTTACATGATTATGGTACATTGCTTATAATTAATGAACCCAGTATTGATGCATTATTTTGACTAATGTTCATGCTTT